CCCACTTCCTACATCCACATGTTCTGTGCAGCAAGTTCACTGAGTAGGTGTTATCTCCACTACTAACTTGGTAAATGTTAGGACCAGCCATCAAAGATTGGCACCACCTTGAGTTGTACTTTGTCTCCTCTAACATCTCTGCATATGTTGGGCAAATCTCCCAATTTGCCGTCTCTGTCTTAGTTCTATTGGTGTTAAATTTGACCATCAATTTAGTCCTAATTCCTTCCAGCATGGTCTTTATTGGCTTCCCTCTAACATCTAGGATCATTTTGTTAAACACCTCACTGATGTTGTTCACAACTAGGTCAGTCTTGCAGGTAAAATCCATTGCATGTCTAGCCCATGTATGAACTGGTACTTTATTAAGCCATGCCCAAGCTGCCTTACACTCTCTTTTCAAATCATTCATTGCAGCTAGGTGTTCATTCTTAGTATAAGAGTAACTAGCTGCATCCATGTGTTTCTTTAATTCATCACCTCTAAAACCAGCAGTTTGGAAATTCTGATAAATGTGTCTAAGGCAGAATCTTTGTGGACAATTGGGGAAAACATGGTTTACTGCATTTAAAAGGCCCTGTTGACACAATATGAACTAGAGATAAATATTGGTCCATTTGAATTGTTCATAAAGCAATGTGCATATGAAAAATTAATAGTACAATAGAAATATGAGAAGAGAAGTTTACCTTCTGCCTATTAGAAATGATAGTATAATACCCAAACTTTCCACTTTCTCCATCAAGTGTATCTTTCAGTTGTGTTAAGAACCAGGTCCAGCTGTCTGTGTCCTCTTTGTCAACAACTCCAAATGCTATAGGGCCTTCCTGTTGCAGCAAGGATCTGCTGACCTGTTGACAGCTTGATAAAACAACCATCTACCCCTGCAAAGTGACAAATGTGAGAAGACAGTGTATTTAATGTGGCCAAATAACAAAAACACTACACAAGTTACAACACAATGTACCTATGAATGGCCTACATCCATTTAAAAACCCTTCTTTGCAAGCATTAAGACAGTAGAACAGGCCATGGAACATTGGGTTCTTGCTTGGGTGCTGTGGCAAATGCTTAGTGGTCACAACACATCTACTTCCTGGGTTTGTGTCCAAAACAGCCTGCAAATAATCTCTAATCCTAGTGTATTGACCTCTCTGGTCTCCTTGGACAACCTTCAATGCTTGTTTCCTAGCCCTATAGGTCATATGGGTTGAGATCTCTACTCCATATTTCTTCTTCAAATTCTGCATTATTGTGGTGATTGGTGTGGCAATATCAATTCTCAGCATATCCTCACACTGGTGTGCCACCCATTTTCCTGTGACCTTTGTATTCTCTGCTACTGCTGGGCATGTGTGCAGAAGATTAGCCTTTCTGATGTAAAAAGTAGTTTCATTTGCAACAACAGAAGCTGCAATGTAGAAAGGACATTTCACATTAGTGCACACAACTATGATGTTGTCATTGTAGTTTCTGTGGAAGTCATAGTTCCTATTCTGACTTATGTGAAATGTCTGAAGTGCTCTCCTAAATTGGTACACGTTAAGGAAACAAAGATTTCTACAAAACTGCTCCTCTGGGTTCTCTCTTTCTTCACTATACCGCTTCCTTGGTTTTGCTTTATGTGCTCTTCTCTTCCTTCCATTGGGCAGAATAAAAGGTGCATTCTCAGCTCCATCATCATATTCCTGCTTCAAATCACCTACATACTCCTCATCTGATGATGGTACCCACACATCCTCAAATCTTTGCTCCAAGCTTGAATGTGACCTCTTGGTTGGCTCTTTTCTTTTTTCCTTCTTCTTTGCTGGCTCCTGTTGTTGCTCCATCTGCTCATCCTCCTCCACTTGCTCTACCTGCTCCTCCTCCTCATGCTCCATCTGCTCCACTTGCTCCACTTGCTCCTCTTCCTCATCTTCCCCATACACTTCATCCACATCAGTGTCTCCTTCAAAATGAAGGAGTGGGTCCTCTCTCTGCCTCCTCAAATCATTAAGCCTGTTAACAAAGTCCTCATCTGCATCCAGATCAGAGTCATCTTCAGTTAGAAGAACTGGTAGTTTTTGCTTAACCATTTGAACATGCTCAAATGCCTCTTTATGTTTCCTAAAGTTCTCAATCTTGGTTCTCCTCTTTAGCTCCATTAGTGTCTCCTGCTCATCTTGCTCCATAGCAATATCTATGTTTGTGTTCTGCTGTGTGGAAAAGAACTGAAGTGACTCTGGCTACCTCTGTTTATTTGATTTCTCAGGTGATCTGAATAGAACTCCAGAAGGATTGACTTCATAGACAGGTTTTTCTCCTAATTGACTCAAAGGAACCTGCTCCTCATACAAATAGCCTGCATTCAAATCTGCAGGTCTTGGATCAGTGGCCCTAATCACTGTCAAAATCACTACAGTCTGATCCTTATTAGCAATATGGTCAAGCATTTCATCCACCTTGTCATCATCAGAAATTTCTACCAATCCTTCAATACCTACACCCGGCTCCCTCACAAAGTAAATATAGTCATTCAGCCCATATCCCTCTGTCTCTATTAATGCTACCAAATTGTGATATGTGATGTCTGAAATGCAGAGGGATCTCTCCAAGTTGTCTTTTTCATGGAAGTGCATTCTAACTTCCCAAACAGCATCGTCCAAACTAGACAACAAGATAAAACAACAATTCTAATTAACATTGCATAATTACTATAAAAAAGTTCACAGTAATATGCTATAATTAACACTGCATATTAACAAAAAATACTTTACTTTGCTCTTATTGGCACTGTTCTAATTAATAATGCATAACTACAAATGAAGCTACTCTAATTTGCCATTTATTCGCACTGCTCTAATTAACAATGCATAACTATAAAATGAGGTACTCTAATTTGCCCTTTATTGGCACTGCTCTAATTAACAATGCATAACTAAATATGTACATACTCTAATGTACTCTAATTAACACTGCATATTAACAAATAAGCTACTCTAATGTGTTCTGTGTTGCCACTGCTCTAATTAACAGTTCACGTTGCTACATATCAACTAAATAAAATTAATATGACACATATATGAGTCTAACAATGGGCTATTCTCCTGTCCCCTCCCCCAAAATCAAATTGAGTGTTTCAGTACCCAAGCTAGGTTTAACACTGCAAATCAAAATAACCACACATACATACACGGCAGGGTTGCTAATTAACATCATGATGTCCTGTTTGTTGTGAATTAGGTGGTTGTTTTCCTACTCTAATGTACTCTAATTAACACTGCATATTAACAAATAAGCTACTCTAATGTGTTATGTATTGCCACTGCTCTAATTAACCGTTCACGTTGCTACATATCAACTAAATAAAATTAATATGACACATATATGAGTCTGACAGTGGGCTATTCCCCTGCCCCCTCCCCCAAAATCAAATTGAGTGTTTCAGTACCCAAGCTAGGTTTAACACTGCAAATCAAAATAACCACACATACATACAGCCCAAGATCCAGCCGCCGAATCCTAACCCTAACCCTAGAATCTGTACAAATGAGGTTAACTTACTAGACGCTGCTGAATCCTAAACCTAACCCTAGAATATGTACAAATGAGGTTAACTTACTAGACGCCGCCGAATGACGAGCCCCACCGGTGGCTTTCCGTCGGATCCGCCTTCACGGCCCTGGCCCAAGATCTAGCCGCCGCGAACTCCAGCGAGTGCTGGGGGCTGGGGTTGGGGCTGCTGTCCGAAGGGGCGCCGGGGTTTGAGCTGCCGCAGAGATCCGCCTCCGGTGGCCTGTCGTCTCCGCCATCGGCAGGCCCACCGCAGTCGCCGCCGCCACTCACCGTCGCCATGTCTGAGAGGAGAGGGTGTGGGGGAGGGAAAGAGATGGAGAAGAGCTAGCGGGGAGGGGAGGGACCGGTCAAAAGGGTTCCGGCTCGAGCCGGCCCGCGCACGGCGTCTAACGAGTCAAACGGATGAACAGTTATGCCACGTCGACAAATGCGGGTCCCACCTGTCATAATCCCACTTAAAACGAGCGAACCGAACAACTTGTGGTTTTTGCAAAAAATTAGCCCCGGAATTAGTGTTTTTGGGCACAAAACTAGAGACTTGTGATTTCTGCAACCCTAGCCTTCAATGTCGATGTTTTTTGCAATTCACTCCATTTTCACAACTACGTCTTCAACCATATTATGGTCCTTTACAGCTCACCCCAGGCCCAGGGTCCTTGTCGACCATCAGTCCTCGGTTGAAAGCAACTCAAATGCTCTTTAACTGAGATCTATTCATATGGCAACTTAGCCACTTGACAGCAATTCATTTTCAGAACTATATGGCAATTCCATGTTTCCCTTAAGTCTAAGCAACTCGCCACGATAGCCATCTATGTGGGAGTTGCACTCATCATTTTCAACCATCGCCCCTCTGGCCCTTTTCCTAGTTTCTGCTGCAGCAGCCCGTTTTCCGGCAGAAGCATAAAGGTTTTAAAGTAATGTTTCTGCCTCACCTATATTTTCCTGCAGGAGTTGACAGAACATTTCCTTTTCTTTTGCCTGCTCACGAGGACCAAAAGCCTTGCTAAAACTAGAACTAGCCTAAGCAACAGTCGCACTTACAGTATAACAAACCGAAATACCAGAAGCAGTACAGAGAAACTAAGAAAAAGATTTAATAGAAAGAAACCGAAATATTTTACAAGCGCCATTTTCAATTTGCCAAAGAAACAGAGGAAGGCACAGTAGATTGTAATGCTCCACGCAGAGAACAGCGGGCAGTCTTTAGATTAGCATCCACCATACAGTTCACAAATTTTGTTGTATCAATGCATATCACAAACAATATTGTCCTCAGCATGAAGAGGAACTCAAGATCTAACCATGTGACGCCTGCTACTGAATCTATCCACCTAATGACACCTGAGGTGGTAGCAAGGAAGATGGTATAAGTTAAAAGAACATTTGCACACAAGTTCCTGAGATAGAACCTGACAGGAGCCGTGCCTGACTTGTTCTAACTTCTAAGGATGCTCTTTATCTTCCCATTTTCTTCTGAGCTTGTTCATCTTCACCATTATTATGACATGGAGCATATCAAAGAACCTATCAACAGCCAGAAAATACGCGGCCCTCCAAGCCCTTGCGAAAAACAGTATGTTACAGACGGTCAAAAGCCCGAAAGCGAATCCCGCTTCTGCGGTGATGTATGTCATTGCGGGCATTATGGATACGGTATCAGTGCCATCACTTTCTGTTCCTTCAAAAGTAGCCTTTCCGAAGCAGGGGCCATTCCGACCAAGGCATAGTGCAGCATTGCCCACGAAACTCTCCTTTGTGAATGTGGAAAATTGGCCCCCTGTTGGGATATCTCCAGTGAGGTTGTTGTAGGAGACATCAAATTTGGAGAGAAATGTCAGCTTTGTTAGAGACGATGGTATGAACTCATTGAGATCATTGTGGGCTAAATTCAAGACTTCCAAGCTCGACATATTTGATAACTCATCAGGAATTCGCCCTGAAAAGTTGTTGCGGCTCAAATCCAACACATGAAGCTTCACAAGATAGCCAAAGCCTGGTGAGACTGGCCCAGCAAGCAAATTATTGGAGAGGATCACGATGGCGGGAAGCTGCTGACATGGTTGTATTGCAAACCCTTGCTAGATAAGTTCTTCCTCATGAATAATGGCAAGTCCTCTATTGATGCATGCTCACTTGAACTACTATTACTCGAGCTTAAACTCTTCATCTGTGTAAAGCTCTCAGGAAGCTCCCCACTGAACAAGTTCTTTGACAGGTCGACGTAGAAGAGATTATTCAGATTGCCCAACCATAGCGGGATCTTTCCGTTCAACTTGTTCCATGAAAGGTCCAGCACTCTGAGGCTCTCCAATCTTTGCAGCCAAGGCGGGATGTTGCCGGAGAGCGCACAGTTTGCCAAAACAAGCACCTGCATGCTCTTGAACCCACTGATGCCATCCATTGGCAGGGTCTCACCATCATACGAGTTTGTGGTGAGCACCAAAGTCGTCAGTTGGGGCAGGTGCTGCAAGACCAGCAATGCCGATGAGAGGTTGGTGAGGCCATTACTAGAAAGCGAGAGGTGTGACAAGGATCGCAAATTCTTAAAGCTCTCTGGTATCTCCCCATCAAGCAGGTTCCTTCCAAGGATCAGTATCCTCAACTTAGTGCACCACATGAGATCTCGAGGTATAGGACCACTTAGCTTGTTGCTCCCTGCATCCAAAACGTTCAGCCTTGGTAGTATACTGAAGTCAATGGCAATCTTGCCCGACAGTGAGTTGTTCCTCAGGTTGATCACTCGCAACATTGGGCAGCTCGACAGGGAAGCGGGCAATGTGCCAGTCAACAAATTTGTTGCCAAGTTTAAGAACTCCAGCCTCCTCAAACCACCAAACACATTGGGGATGACGCCACTGAACATGTTATATGACAGGTCCATATGCATAAGCTGAGAGAAGTTACCCAGGTCCTCGCTGAGACTACCAGAGAGCTGATTTTCCCGTAAGCTCAGCCTCCTCAACTCTGATATTGTGTAAAGGTCCCTGGGGAGTTTCCCAGTAAGGCCACTGCCATCAATGGAGAGCTCAGTAAGCATCTTGCACAGGCCGAACCCGGCGCGGATCTCACCGGTGAACTCATTCCCAGAAAACCGCAAGGCCTTGACCGGCGCAACACAGAGTGCGGTGGTGTTGATGCCACCAGAGAAGGCATTATTCGAGATATCAAGAATAGTCATGTTCATCGCGACAGGGAACACAGGATGCGGTCCCTTGAATTGGTTGAAGGACACATTCACCACCTCAATTGCCGGGAAGCCATGTTCACTCGTCGGGAACGCGCCGGAGAACACGTTCATGCTGAGGTCGAGAATCCGCATCCTTGCTAACCGGACTATATCCTCTGGTGGCTGGCCACGGAGAGAGTTGCGGGAGAGGTTAAGAGTCACAAGGCCATCAAGCAAGGTGATCGCGGATGAGATGCCGCCATGAAGGTTCTTGTTGGAGAGATTCAACCCAACAACCCTCCCAAGATCACAAGAGATGCCGGTCCAGGAACAGCACGCTGCATCATTGGGACCCCATCCAACAAGCCTGCTACCTTTCCTATCCAAGCCACTGGAAAAAGCGAGAAGCGCCTCCAGGTCAGTGGAATTGCATGTTTGGTTCAGGGAGTGGCTGCCATGTGTGTAGAGCAGAAAGCAGACGAGCAAGCAGGGGAACAAGCAGTAGTAGCCCCCCATCTTTAGCAAGAGGTGGTGGCGAAACTAGAAAATGATTCTGAATGGCATGGACAATTTGGAAAGGACTTGGAGAAGAATTTCAGGCTAAAGTCCCACCTTTCTTGCAAAGCTGCATGAATTCAAGCATCAAGAACTCACGACGATGACAAATAGCAATTGTGAGAGCACTCCAAAAGAATGAAAGGAAAAACCTGTTACCTTGGCGGTATCCTTGTCGAGAAAGCCTGATAAATAAAAGATCATAAACCAAGAAGGTGGTCTGGTCCTCTGGGATCTCTAACTGGAACAAAAGTGATGGCAGAAAATAGTTCAGTTTGAAGCTTAACCACAAACTTTCTTGGTTGCTGTTCTCGAAGTCAATGGCAATGGACAGTGTGTTCTTCACATAAAGACAACTTCAGTTCCCTGTCCCCCTGTCATGAAAAAAATATGAATAGCACCACCACCCCAAAGAAAACTGACTTAGTCAAACAACATTATTTTAATACAAATCACTCCTTCCTAGTACTTTCCATGAGTTTCCCCAACAATTAACTCAGCGACCCAATGCAAGTCCTACAGCACTTTGGGAGGGTCTGCCTATCATCACTACATGGAGCATGAAGTCCCATCTTTCGCAAGGGGCTGCGGCGGAAGTAGAAAATGTTTCTGAAGGGCATGAACAATTTCAAAGGACTTCAGAAAGAGTTCTAGGCAAAACTCACACCTCTCTTGCAAAGCTGCGTGAATTAAAGCACCAAGAACATGCGGAGATGATAAATAGCAATCTCAAGAGAATTCCAAAAGAAGGAAAACAGATCAATCTTTGCTTAACACCAACCTTTTTTATGCTGTTCCCGAAGTCAATGGCCTGGGCTACGTATTATTTACTTAATGACAGCTTCAGGCCCCTATCTTCATTTGATTAACAAATAAGATACCCCCCACCCCCTCTGCAAAAACTTAGTCAAACTAGATTATTTTAGTACAAGTCATCTCTTCCTAGTAATCTCCCTGTGTTTCCCTAACAATCGGCTCAGGCCCCCAGTTTAAATCTTACAGTATTTTAGGAGGGACTGACTACTTCTACTAATTTAGGTACTGTAAGAGTAGGCCTGGATTATTTGGGCCGAACAATAAAATGAATAGTGTAAGTTAAATATCACCATTAGCTAGCTAATTTAAACAGTGAACAGAGTGTTGAAGTTAAATTTAGAGAATTTAGCATTGTCATGTAAACAAGTATATTCTGCTACTTTAATGCAGGTCATATCAAATTTCTAAGTTCCTGTATATAGCTACTGGATACAAGGATGGGGCTAAAGTATTATGTAAGATCCATATGATACGAAAACAAGAACTGTATACTTACCACCTCACTTTTTTAAGCAATCCATCATCTACCACTGAAACCATGATTCATAGCGAATTATGATCCTTTGGTGGAACATGAGCATGAGCAAAGTAAGCAATCTGTATTAAGAGAGCAACGATGGATCGAGAGGGTTAGCCACTTAGACGAACTCAGTAAGTTAGAACTTCAGATTTATTTAGTTGACTGCTTACATCACTTTATTAACTCACTAAGTTAGAACTTCAGATTTTATTAAGTTCTTTGCTGGTTGCTTCCACCCACAAAGGAATATCCAGACATCAGTCGGCTTACATGATTGGGGACAGGTAACTCTGCAACATAATGCCCTTAGTTAAATCAGAACATTCCCTGTAATCTTCAATATTCATCAGCTCATATCTTTCATAGAAGCAACCAGCACACCTGGAAAATGCTTAGCCTGCAACTCAAGAAGCCATTGTCAAAATAATAGCATTCGACAAGCAAATATATAGCTCTCTTATATATACACTAAAAAAAGGGCAACACGGGGCATTCAGCTGTCTCTGTTCCGTAGAGAGAGAAAACTGTAGCTAAAATTCTGTTGTTTATCACAGACAGACTGAAACAGAATCAAACAGATATATTGATGCAAGACACACGATAGCATTGGCTCACACTTCTCTCCTTTCTATGAGCAGACTCTGAGAAGCTGGGAGCGAAAGCCTTGCTAAAATACAATGAGGTAACCTTCAAAAATGCTAGTATTAGCCAAGACAACAGTCAAAAACAAAGTAAAGGAAGGCTTGTACAATTTTACAGAGAGAAAAAAAGATTCATGTGTTTCTTGGAGCCAACGAAGCCAATCATTCCAGGAATAGTAAAGAGAAAGTGGAAAGAGAGATTTTGAGAGGGGGAAACGAAAAAACAGTGCGAGAATCATCTTTGATCGATGCCCAAACAAACTGAGAAAGGGGAAAGCAGATTTTACTGCTCCACACAGCGACCAGTCTTTAGATTAGCATGCAACATACAGTTCTTAAATTTTAATATATCACACATATCACAAACAATATTGTCCGCGGCATTAAGGGAAACTAAAAATCTAATCACAGGGAGCCCTGCTGCTAAATCAAACAACCTAGTGACACCTGAAGCGGAAGCAAGGACCAAGGAAGAAACCACAAACTGAGAAAAGGAAACATCATATGAAGTAAATAACATCTGCACACAGCCGTGTCTGACTTTCTTTAAGGATGAACTTTATACTCCCATTTTCTTCTGAGCTTGTTCACCTTCACCACTATCATGACATGAATCATATCAAAGAACCTATCAATCGTCAGAAAATACGCAACCCTCCAAGCCCTTATGAAGAACAGTTCGTTCCAGACCATTAAAAGCCCAAAAGTGAATCCCACTTCCACGGTGATGTATGTCATCGCAGGCATTTCAGTATCCGTACCACGATGCTGCTCATTTCTAGTTTCCACAAATGGAGCCTCTTCAGTGCAGGAGGCATTCCGAAGAAGGCAGAGTGCAGAATTGCCCACAAAGTCCTCATTCGCGAATGTGGAAAATTGCCCCCTGTTGGTATATCTCCAGCCAACTTGTTGTAAGAGACATCAAACTTGGACAGAAATGTCAACTTTGTTAGAGATGCTGGTATGCTCCCACTGAGATCATTGTGGGACAAATTTAGAGCTTCCAGGCTCGACATGTTTGACAACTCATCAGGGATGGCCCCTGAGAAGTTGTTCCAGCTCAAGTCCAGTACATGAAGATTCACAAGATGGCCAAGCCCACGCAACACAGGCCCAAAAAGCAAGTTATTGGAGAGGATCAGCGACGGCGGGAAGCTGCTGACATGTTTGTACTGCAAACCTTTGTCAGCTGAATTCTTCTTGAATAATAACGGGAAGTCCTCTATTGATGCAGGCTCACTCGAAATATTACTTGAAATTAAACTCTTTATCTGTGTAAAGCTCTCAGGAAGCTCCCCACTAAATGAGTTGTTTGACAGATCGACATAGAAGAGATTATTCATATTGCCCAACCATAGCGGGATCTTTCCGTTCAACTTGTTCCATGAAAGGTCTAGAACTCTGAGGCTCTCCAAGCTTTGCAGCCAAGGCGGGATCATGCCAGAGAGCGCACAGTTTGCCAAGACAAGCACCTGAATGCTCTTGAACCCATTGATGCCATCCATTGGCAAGGTCTCACCACCACGTAAGTTTTTGGTGAGCACCAAGCTCGTCAGTTTGGGCAGGTACTGCAAGACTCGTAATGCCGTTGACAAGTTGGTGAAGCAATTGTCAACAAGCGAGAGGTGCGACAGGGACCGCAAATTCTTATAACTCTCTGGTATCTTCCCCTCAAGCTTGTTCGTTGCAAAGTTCGGTGTCTTCAATTCAGTGCACCACATGAGACTGGGAGGTACAACACCACTCAGCATGTTGCTCCCTACATCCAGAATGTTCAGCCTTGGCAGTAAGTTAAAGTCAATGGCAATCTTACCCGACAGCGAGTTGTTCCTTAGGTTGATAACCCTCAGGCCTCAGCACTAGGCAGCTCGACAGGGAAGCAGGTAATGTGCTGCTGAACAAATTTGAGGCCAAATTTAAGAACTCCAGCCTCCTCAAACCCCCAAACACATCAGGGATGATGCCAGTGAATATGTTATATGACAGGTCGATATGCATAAGCTGAGAGAAGTTACCCAGGTGCTCGCTGAGGCTACCAGAGAGCTGATTTTCCCATAAGCTCAGCCTCCTCAACTCTGATAAAGTGTACAGGTCGCTGGGGAAATTCCCAGTGAGGCCACTGCCATCAATAGACAGCTCAGCGAGCATCCTGCACCGGCCAAAGCCTGCAAGGATCTCACCATTGAACCCATTCCTGGAAAATCGCAGGGCCTTTACCGGCGTAATACAGAGCCCCGTGGTGTTGAATCCACCAGAGAAGGCATTGCTAGAAATATCAAGAACTGTCAGGTTCATTGCGGCAGGGAACACAGGGTGAGATCCGGTGAATTTGTTGAAGGAGACATTCACCACCTCAATCGCCAAGTAGCCACCTTCACTCACAGGGAAAACACCAAAGAGCATGTTCACACTGAGGTCAAGCTTCCGCAACCTTGCTAACCCGCCAAGCCCCTCTGGTGGCTGGCCGCGGAGAGAGTTGCGAGAGAGGTTTAGAGTCACAAGGCCATCAAGCAAGGTGATCGCAGGGGAGATGCCGCCATGAAGGCTCTTGTTGGAGAGTCCAACCCAACAACCCTCCCAAGATCACAAGAGACGCCGGTCCAGGAACAGCATGCTGCATCACTGGAACCCCACCCAACAAGTCTGCTGCTCATATCCAAGCCATTGGAAAAAGCAAGAAGAGCCTCCAGGTCAGTGGTGCTGCATGTCTGGTTCAGGGAGTGAATGCCTTGTACGTGGAGCAGAGAGTAGATAAACAAGAGGTGGAACAAGCAGTGGTAGCCTCCCATCTTTGGTGAGAGGCAGAGGCAAAATTAGAACATGTTTCTGAATGACATGAACAATTTGAAAGAACTCTGGGCTAAAAACACACACCTTTCTTGCAAAGCTGCATGAAATCAAGCACCAAGAACAAGCGAAGCTGACAAATAGCAACCACAGGAGGATTCCAAAAGAAGGGAAACAGTTCATTCTTAACAGCAAACTTTTTGGTTGCTGTTCTTTAAGTCAACGGCAATCGGCAGTGCGATGTAGGCCGCAGAATCGTTTTATTTAATACTGCGTTGGCAGGGTCTTGAACTCAAGACCTCTTGGCTATGATACCAACTCATCCAAAAGTCCGAACTGATGGAGGGAGGTGGGCAATATATTTCAACAAAACTCAGTAATGCAAGTTACATGTCAGCATTGGCTTAACGTTCAATAGAAACTAATGTCAAAGATCATTTAGAGAATAATCGCCATGTAAATAAGTATAACCTGCTACTTCAATGCGGACTATATCAAATTCATAATTCCTCCACCTGGTGAATATGTAGCTAATGATACATCAATGAGGGCTAAAGAATTATGTAAGATCGATACAAATATGAAAACAAGATAAGTAGGCAGTTTTATTGCCCTGTCACAATGGAACTGTACAAATTCTAACTGGCAACAAGACTCCTTGAATTTTACTTGTCACCTTCCAGCTTTTAAGCAATCCATCAGATAGCGATTAACCCGTGAGTCATAGCTCAAACTGTTATTCCTCTGTGCAACATGAGCACAACCAAACTACGCATACTGTATTAAGAGAGCAATGATGCATTGATATGATTACTCAATTAGAAGAACTCACTAATTAAAACTTCAGAATTATTAGTTGCCCTGGCGGGGGACACGTAAAATCATACAGTCTGTAATAAGTCCTGAAACTAAAGAGAACTAATTACTTAATGAATCAAAGTCTAAATGCCATGCTTTCATCAACAAAGGAAGAAATATATATAGGCCTCAGGCAGCTTACATGATTAGAACGGCTTGACTTAGACATGTAACTCTGGAACCTCACGCCCTTACTAGCCAGGACAGAGGAAACAGTCAAATCCACTTTTAACTGGGTTTTGTTCATGGCAACTACACTTTAAACCATTACAGTCCTTTCCAACCACCAGCACTGCAGGCACCAATCATATTTTATATCTGAATACAGCACACCCAGGGCCCTTATCGACCACCAGTCTCCAATGGAAAGCAGCTCAAATGCTCTTTAACTGAAATCTATTCATGGCAACTTAGCCACTTGACAGCAATTCATTTTCAGATTCCGTGTTTCCCTTGAGTCTAAGCAACTCGCCATTACAGCTATCTATGTGAGAGTGGCACTCACCATCTGCAGACAACAAATGAATTGCATTTTTACTCAATCCAGCTCAGCCCAGGTTCATTTGCCATCATCCCTCTGGCTCTTTTCCTAGTTTCTGCCGCAACGGCCTGTTTCCCGGCAGAAGCATAAAGGTTTTAAAGCAATGTTTATGTCTGACACATATTTTCCTGCAGAAGTTGACACAACATTTCCTTTTCTTTCGCCTCCTCACGAGGACCAAAATCCTAGCTAAAAACTAGAACTAGCCTAGACAATAGTAGCACAAACAGTAAAACAAACCAGAATTCAGAAGTAATCAAGAGAAACTGAAAAAAAAGGTTTAAGCGGAAGAAACCGAAATCTACAAGCGCTACCTTCAATTAGCTAAACAAACAGAGAAAGGGGCAGCACATTGTACTGCTGCACACAGAGAACAGCAAACAGTCTTCAGATTAGCACCCACCACACAGTTCATAAATTTTGTTGTATCAACACATATCACAAACAATATTGCCCTCAGCATGAAGAGGAATTCAAGATCTAACCATATGACCCCTGCTACTGAATCTATCCACCTAATGACACCTGAGGTGGTAGCAAGGAAGACACTATAATAAGCTGAGAAAAAGGAGACGGCATATATAAAGTAAAAAGAACATTTGCACACAAGCCCCCTAGATAGGACCTGCAAAGAGCAATGTCTGACTTGTTCTAAAGATGATCTTTATCCTCCCAAATTCTTGTGAGCTTGTTCACCTTCACCATTGTCATTACATAGAGCTTATCAAAGAACCTGTCGACCGCCAGAAAATATGCGGCCCTCCAAGCCCTTGCGAAGAACAGTATGTTACAGACAGTCAAAAGCCCGAAAGCGAATCCCACTTCCACAGTGATGTATGTCATCGTGAGCATTGCGGATATGGTATCGGTGCCATCACTTCCTTCTTCAAATGGAGCCTTTCCAAAGCAGGGGCCATTCCAACGAAGGCATAGTCCAGCATTGCCCACGAAATTCTCATTTGTGAATGTGGAAAATTGACCCCCTGCTGGGATTAGTCCAGTCAGGTTGTTGTACGAGACATCAAACGTGGAGAGAAATGTCAACTTTGCTAGAGATTCTGGTATGCTCCCACTGAGGCCATTGTGGGTTAAATTTAGCTCTTCCAAGCTTGAAATGGTTGACAACTCATCAGGAATTGACCCCGATAAGTTATTCCAGCCCAAGTCCAACACATGAAGCTTCACAAGATTGCCAAGGCCCCACAAGACTGGCCCAACAAGCAAGTTATTGGACAGGATCAGCGACGGCGGGAAGCTGCTGACATGGTTGTACTGCAAACCTTTATTACATGAATTCTTCTTGATAAATAATGGGAAATCCTCCATTGATGCATGCTCACTCGAACTATTACTTGAAATTAAACCCTTCATCTGTGTAAAGCTCTCAGGCAGCTCCCCACTGAACAAATTGTTTGACAGGTCGACGTAGAAGAGATCATTGAGATTGCCCAACCATAGTGGGATCTTTCCATTCAACTTATTCCATGAAAGGTCCAGCGCTCTGAGGCTCTCCATACTTTTCAGCCAAGGCGGAATCATGCCGGAGAGCGCACAGTTTGCCAAAACAAACACCTGCATGCTCTTAAACCCATTGATGCCATCCATAGGCAGGGTCTCACCACCATGGAAGTTCTTGGTGAGCACCAAAGTTGTCAGTTTGGGCAGGTGCTGCAAGACTCGTAATGCGGATGACAAGTTGGTGAAGCCATTACGATCAAGCGAAAGGTGCGACAGGGATCGCAAATTCTTAAAGCTCTCTGTTATGTCCCCATCAAGCATGTTCTTTCCAAGGTTCAGTGTCCTCAACTCAGTGCACCACATGAGATCTGGAGGTATAGGACCACTCAGCATGTTGGCCCCTGCATCCAAAACGATCAGCCTTGGTAATAAACGGAAGTCAATGGTAATCTTGCCCGACAGCGAGTTGTTCCTTAGGTTGATCACTCGCAGCATTGGGCAGCTCGACAGGGAAGCAGGCAATGTGCCAGTTAACAAATTTGAGCACAAGTTTAAGAACTCCAGCCTCCTCAAACCTCCAAACATGTCAGGGATGATGCCACGGAACATGTTATATGACAGGTCAATATGGATAAGCTGAGAGAAGTTACCCAGGTTCTCGCCGAGATTACCAGAGAGCAGGTTATCTCGTAAGCTCAGCCTCCTCAACTCTGATATAGTGTAAAGGTCGCTGGGGAGGTTTCCGGTAAGGCCACTGCTGTCAATAGAGAGCTCAGTAAGCATCTTGCACTGGCCGAAGCCGGTGAGGACCTGACCGGTGAACTTATTCCTGGAAAATCGCAGGGCCTTGACCGGCGCAACACAGAGGACCATGATGTTGATGCCACCAGAAAAGGCATTGCTCGAGATATCAAGAACCGTCAGGTTCATTGCGCCAGGGAACACAGGATGTGGTCCCTTGAATTGGTTGAAGGAGACATTCACAACCTCAATCGCTGGGAAGCCGTGTTCACTCGTCGGGAACGCGCCGGAGAGCATGTTCATGCTGAGGTCGAGAATCCGCATCCTTGCTAACCGGCCAAGCCCAACCGGTGGCTGACCATGGAGAGAGTTGCCAGAGAGGTTTAGAGTCACAAGGCCATCAAGCAAGCTGATTGCTGAGGAGATGCCGCCATGAAGGCTCTTGTTGGAGAGATCCAACCCAACAACCCTCCCAAGATCACAAGAGACGCCGGTCCAAGAACAGCACGCTGTGTCGTTGGGACCCCACCCGACAAGCCTGCTGCCCTTCCTATCCAAGCTGCTGGAAAAGGAGAGAAGCGCCTCCAGGTCAGTGGGATTGCATGTCTGATTCAGGGAGTGGCTGCCAAGTGTGTGGAGCAGAAAGCAGACGAGCAAGCAGGGAAACAAGCAGTAGTAGCCTCCCATCTTTTGGCGAGAGGTGGTGGCAAAACTATAAGATGATCCTGAAGGTCATGAACAAACTGGAAGGGCTTGGAACAGAATTCTGGGCTAAACTCGCACCTTTCTTGCGAAGCTGCATGAAATTCAAGCATCAAGAACACACGAAAATGTCAAATAGGAATTGTGAGAGCAGTCCAAAAGAAGGAAAGGACAAACCTGTTACCTTGGCGCTATACTTGTCCAGAAAGCCTAATGAAGGAACATAAACCAAGAAGGTGGTCTGGGGCTTATAACTGGAAAACAAAAGGGCCGGCAGAAAATAGTTCAGTTTGAAGCTGTACCACAAACTCTCTGAGTTGCTGTTCTCAACATCAAGGGATGGACAGTGTATTCTTCTGTACTTAAAGATAGCTTCAGCCTCCTGCCCAGCTGTCCCCCTTTCATGGAAAAAATATGAATACCCCCACCAACCCACCCACTCACCCACCCAGAAAACTGACATAGTCAAACTACATCATTTTAATATAAGTCATCCCTTACTAGTGTTTTCCACGAGTTTCCCCAACAATTGACTCAGCGACCCAATGTAAGTCCTAAAACACTATGGGACGGTTTGATTATTTCTACAGCTTTAGATACCGTAAGACTACGCCTGGATTATCTGGGGTGAACAATAAATCAAAAATGCAAGTTATATATCATCATTGTTAGCTTTGTTAAATAGTGGAACTAAAGTTGAAGTTCAATTTAAAGAATCATTTCCATGTAAACATTTTTTTTAATAAAGACAGCTTCACTCTCCTGTCCCGCTTGAGGACCAAATATAAACCCCACCCACCTCCCAAAAAAACTTAGTAAAAACATACAACAGTGTTCTACTGGACCATGTTGCATAATGGGCATGCTACTGGGTAGTAAGCTCATAAGACCTTAATCACATAGGCAGTACTCCCTCCGTCCCTAATTACTTGTCGCTCAAATGGATGTATCTAGCACTAACTCGACCAAGGTCATCGCATATAGCTACTGTGATCGCATTCATTTTTATTGTCATAACTATGGAGAAGTTACTACTAATTACAAGATGAATGCCTCTAATGGGCAGAAATATATGTTTTTGATGATCCACCTGCTATTCTAGAAATTAAAAACTTTTATATCTCTGGATTTTCCCTTGACAATTGCCAAAAATGTAGCATAGACATACCACATAGATGTACTTTAAGATTGTAAAATTATCAGCGATATTCACTGGAACACAAATAGGAAATTGTAGATTCTGCTCCTAAAAATTTACTGTATATGTTTGATTTTCTCTCCCATGACACCTTTTTGTAATTTTCTGAAAAGCGAAAACACATGAGTAATATATTCACTGGAACATGAGAGGAAATATGGACACTAATAAAAAATATGGTTTCTGTTATAGTGCCAACGTAAACAAAGTATAAGTATATAGCGCCATCTAATCAAAAGTAGGTACCGCATTTTCTCACATTAGCATGCTGCCATGCATGCAGTGTGCTTTGGCTGTTTGGCAGCAGTGCAAACCCATCCACATAGCAAATTGGCATGTATCGAGACGTCTTTGGCATGAATTTTAATGGGCAACCCTTATGGTCCAAACTCTAAGGACAGTCAGTAATCCATATTAGCATAAATGCTCACCATCTCTACTAATCTGGCCCATACATAGATGCCCATGTCCTTAGATCTAACGATGTGGACCATAGGTGCAGCTGGACCATGGTCCAGAGAATCTTCTCTCAAAACATTTTCATATAAGCCCCCACCCACCCCCGAGCTTCCCTAACAATTGACTCAGGAGGGTTTGACTATTTCTACAAATTTGGGTACCAAAAACTACACTTCGGTTATTTGGGCTGAACAATAATTTAAAGAAATGCAAGTTACATATCCACATTATTAGCTAAACTAAGTCAAATAGTGAAACTAATGTTGAATAACTTCGAGAATAATTGCCACGTAAAAATGTATATTCTGCTACTGACCATGTCTAATTCCTAATTCCCTCCACCTGGTGAACTCCCTTTCCATTCCTAAATATAAGACGTTTTGGTAGTTCAAAACCCTCCGTTCCTAAATATAAAACGTTTTGGTAGTTCAATTGAACTACCAAAACGTTTTATATTTAGGAACGGAGGGAGTATATAGCATTACATGTGTGGAGAACGGACGTTTGGCTCTCTGCCTCCATGGAGGCCTTTTTCTGAAAAAATCAAAAATCAAACTTTTTGCTTTCAAAAAAATCTGAAAAAAATTGTGCAAGTAAACAAGGATGTTATGTGTATGTGTGTAAAAATTCAAAATGAAATGCGTTGAAATGCGACCTGTACAAAAAAGACAAATTCATGGCCTGGGAGGATGAATAGTATCATGTGTTAAAAAAGGCCCAGATTTGTCTTTTTTGCACAGCCCTCATTTCAACATATTTTGCCCTGAAAATTTACACACATGTGTGTTATGCCTTCATGTATATCTGTATTTTTTCAGAATTTTTTGAAATGTAAAAATATGATATTTGATGAAATTCGAAATTTGAATTTGGAGGCCTCCATGGAGGCCGAGCTCCAAAGGCAATTTTTGTACATGTGTGGGGATAAAGAATTGTGTAAGATCTTTCACATATGATTTTTTAAGTTTCTAGGCAGTTATGTTGCCCTATCATGCTGGAACTGCATAAAGTGTCTGTCATGTTCTTTGGGATTTGGTTGACTGGATCACAGGTTGTAGGGGTGGTCAACAGGGGGACGAGGTTCGTAATCTCAGTGCGCCTGGATCGGCGCCGAAGCTACCCAAATCATAACTTCCTATCTTTGTTCCTTGGAAGAACTAATGTCCCTTCCTGGGCCCAGTGCTGCAGCTGTGGCCCTCCTCCTGAGCTGACTTGTCATGCCCTCAACATGACAGTTCCTAACAACAACATTCCTTGAATTTTACTTACCACCTTACTGTTTTTAAGCAATCCATCAGCTAGCAATTAAGCCGTGATTCATGTCAAAGTTATCATTCCTTGGTCCAACATGAGCACAAGCAAACTACGAAACTGTATTAAGAGAGCAATGATGGATCGCTATGGATACCCAATTTATAAGAATACGCTAAATTAAAACTTTGGATTCCGCAATCTAGATAAGGGCATGTAAAATCATATGTATTAAGTTCTGAACCAAAGAAAATTAATTAATGAATCAAAGTCAAAACGACATGATTTCACGGATGAAGGATTTTTTTTTCTTGAATTCTGAGGAAGGAACATCTGGACCTCAGGCAGCTTACATGATTGTAAGGGCTTGACTCTGACATTCATATGGTCATCCGTTAGTTATGCTGAACAAAAATTGCTTCTGTTAAAAAAAAATCCAGTATAAGCTCTGGGAAATCTTGCCCCGTATCCTTGAACATTTTTTAGTGCATGTTTTTCCTAGAAGCAAACAGCACACCTGAAAAATGATTAATGTGTAAACTCAGGAAGTCCTTGGAATATTTGGGCTGAACAATAAACTGAATAGTGCAAGTTACATATCAGCATTGGCTAACTATAAGCTCAATAGTGAAACTGGTCGTTCTGTGTCTTGTTGTCTTTCCATTGTACCGTCCACTGTTTTCCTTGATAATATTCAGTTATAAGATGCCCATTGGGTGTCTTTTCTAAAAATAGTCAGAGTTAAATTTAAAAAATAATCATCATGTAAATAAGTATATCCTGGTACTTCAATGCAGGTCATATCAATTTCCTAATTTCCTCCGCCTGCTGAATATATATCTAATGGATATATGAATGGGGGCTCAAGAATTATGTAAGATCCATACAAATGCGATTCCTTGAAATTTACTTATCATCTTACTATTTTAAGCAATCCATCAGCTAGTGCCTGACCTGTGATTCACATTATAATTCCTTGGTGCAACATGAGCACAACCAAACTTTGCATACTGTGTTAACAGAGCAATGATGCATTGATAAGGCTCCAATTAGAAGAATTCCACAATTAAAACTTCAGACTTATTAGTTGCCTTGATGTGACATGTAAAATCATACATGTATTAAGTTCTGAAACCAAAGAATATTAATGCATCAAATCTAAATGCCATGTTTTCATCCACAAAGGAACAAATATTCAGGCCTCAGGCAGCTTACATGATTGGAAGGGCTTGATTGGGACAGGTAACTCCGGAACTTCACGCCCTTAGTTAATGCTGACCAATTTGTTTGTTCTGTTAAAGCAATTCCAATGTAAGCTCTGGGATATCTTCCCCTGTAATCTTCAAAATTCATCAGTTCATGTCATTCACAGAAGCAAACAGCACACCCCTAAAATGCTTAACCTGTAAATTTCAAGAAGCCTTAATCAAAACAAACGACTCAACAAACAACAACAATTTCTCTGAAATGCTAAAAGATGGCAAGACGGGACATTTAGGTAAGTATAAAATTATAGTTTGAAATTCTGCTGCTGATCATAGACAGACTGAAACAGAATCACACAGATATGTCGATATAAGAGACACGGTACCATTCGGTCAAACTTCTCTCTCCCTTTTTATAAGCAGACTTGAGCAATTGTCAGCTGGTCAATCCAATGTTTAGTATGTACCTAGTCTCTGTCGGAACCAAACATAAGTCAAACTTATGATCGGTTACTGTGAGTTACTTCCACCTCAATAACTTGTTTGATGCAGCTTGGCTGTAAACCTTCTTTGATCCAATGGTGCTAACAGTACTAAGTGTGAACCTTAAATTGATAGATTGTCCCTTGATAATTTCTCATTTCTTCTGCTTAGCTATTACACTCGATATCTTATCATATAAGCCAGTTTAGTAGCCGTGACAGGGGAAAGCAGTCAAAACCGCTTTTAAGTTCTAAGAAAAATCCGTTCATGGCAACTTAGCCACTTGGCAGCAGATCATTTTCACAACTATATTTTAAACCAGTTAGGGTTTAAACTTCAGCACTGCAGAGAAGACATGCACCATATTGTTAATCTTAATAAACTCACCAGAGGGTCCTTATCGATAATCAATCCTCAATGGAAAGCAAGTCAAATGCTCTTTCATTGAAATCTATTCATGGAACTTAGCCAATTGAAAGCAATTCATTTTCAGAACTATACAACAATTCCATGTTCCCCTTAAGTCGAAGCAACTCAGCACGACAGTCATCGATCTGTGAGTGGCATTCATCATCTGCTGAGAACACATGAATCGTACTTTTTATCTCAACCCAACTCAGCCCAGGTTCCTTCTCAACCATCATCCCTCTGATTTTTTTCCTAATTTCAGCTACAACATCCCATTTTCCTGCAGCAGCATAAAGGTTTGAAAGCAATACATGTGTTGACATATCATCTGGGTCTTGCGCTAGTGCCTGTTCAGCAGCATGAACACCAACGGACAAATCATTTAATGCTACACAGCAACTTAGCAGAATTCTCCATAGTTCAGGACATTTCTTGGCAAATGGGGATTTCTGCAGTAAATCAACTGCTTCCTCCAATAAACCTGCCCTACCTAACAAACTCACCATGCTAGTATAGTGCTTGAATCCTGGCATAATACCATCCGTCATCATACAAAACCAGTAGAACTTTCCTTTCTCAACTAGTCCACAGTGGCTGCATGCTGAAAGGAGGGATATGTAAGTTACATGGTCAGGTTGCAGCTCATCACGAATCATCTCACCAAATAACTTAAATGCCATTTCTGAATTGCCATAATTGCCATATCCCCCTATCATTGAATTCCAACACTTCAAATCTCGCTTTGGTATGGTGTAGAACACCAAATGGGCACCTTGGAGAGCACCATTTTTAGCATACATATCAAGCAGGCTTCCGGAGGCACAGATATTCCCCTCATAACCACTTTTTACCACTTGAGCATGGAGCATCTCTCCTTGCTTAAGACCTGCAAACTCTGCTGTGGAGTTCAAAGCACTGCTGAGAGAGAAGCTGTCGACCTTGTACCCTTCCTGAAGCATGCTAATGAAATACTTCAAGGCTAATTCAGCTTCACCCGACGAAGAATGGCCCGCAACCATCTCGGTCCACATAATTACATCTTTCTCGGGAAGGGAATCGAACAAAATTCGTGCTGAGCCTGGCTCCCCGTTTGTAAAATACATATTGATCAATGTATTACCTACAAAGACGCTGGTCTCCAACCCAGCTTTGACCACTTCAGCATGAAGTGGCATTCCACTACGCATTGCAGGTAAAGCAGCAGCAGCAGACACCACAGCTGCAAATGTATACTCATCAGGGACAACCGGCTCGCCGAACTGCACATCCTTGAGCCGTACAAAAGCATCCATAGCACTCCATCCATCCCCAGCAGCAGAAAACCCAGCAATCAGAGTATTCCATGACACCAAGTCAGGCGTCTCAATCCTGTCAAACACATGTAACGCAGTGTCCAGATCACCGCAGCCGGAGTACATGCCGAGCAGCGCATTCTGCAGCGGCGTGTCAGGGTCAAGCTCCTCCGACTTCACCACCCAGCCATGCAGCACGCGCCCCCCGTGGCTATCCCCGGCGCGTGCACACCCACTGAGCACCGACGAGAGCGTGCTCTCGGTAGGTGCCAGCCCAGCCCTCACCATGCTGCAGAATTGCCCAAGAGCACGCCCGAGGTAGCCGTACCGCACGCTGCAGTGCATCGCGCAGTTCCATGCGACCACGTCCCGCGTCGCCATTTCGTCGAACACCCGGTTGGCGTCCCGCGGCGCCCCGCACTCGGAGTACATCTGCAGCAGGGCGGTGGGCACGATGTCGCTGGCGAGGAAACCGAGCGCCGCGGCCTGCGCGTGGGCCAGGGCGCCCGCGCGGCCGTCTCGCAGCGCTCCGGCGGCGCGGAGGACGGCGCAGAGGCTGGGCGCGGTGGGGCGGAGCCCGGACACGCATAGCTGGCCGAAGAGCCGGAAGGCCTGCGGCGCGTGGCGCGGGGCCCCGCGGGAGAGCGCGGAGAGGACGGTGTTGAAGGAGACGACGTTGGGGCGCGGCGCGGAGCGGAGGAGCGCGACCGCGTCGGGGAGCGCGGAGAGCCGGGCGTAGAGCGCGAGGAGCTGGTTGACGAGGAAGGTGCCGGGCGTGTGCGCGGAGGGCATGGAGGAGACCACGAGGAGCGCGTGCAGCGCGCGCGCGCGGCGGAGGACGGCGCGGCGCGGGGAGCTCGGGCAGGAGCGGTGCAGCGCGTCGGCCGCGGCGGAGAGCGCCGGCTCCAGCGGGTGGAAGCCGAGGCGCGACGGGTGCGGCGGCGGCGGCATTGGTGGACCGGTGGCGGGGTCGCGCGTTTCATTTCGTAGCATAGCGACCGGTCGCACCGTAGAGAAGTTCTACTCGACTGCAGCAAAGAGCAAACCATGCTAAAGATTTCGAACTTATAAATCAAGATTGAATTAATAACATGGTGTGGTTCCTAACTTAAATTCAAATTAGTTTTAGTGTATTCAAAATTCGCATACAAGCATGACCAAGTTCTAGCATATTCACGCGAGATCGAATCGTTTTCATGAGAAGAATAAACGACCCTAGCAGCCACCCGTCCTTTGCCCCTCCCGCCGCCACCGGGGCACGTCACCGGGCAAAGCCCGCATGGAGCCTGCGACGGCGGGGAGGTCTAGATCGAGGAGGCTTGTTGTGGAGGCGATGGAGGGTGCTCGAGCAGAGGCCTTCGTTGGGTGGTGTGTGACGGCGTCGTTAGTGAAGTCGGCGGCAGCCGGATGGATCCAGCACAGAGATCTTCATCAATGGCCCGTCCTGGATGGGTTATCGGAGAAGAGGGTGTTAGTGCACGGTTTTGTACGACGACGAGCTCGAAATCAGACATGGACCATTCATACAAGACATAGGTGATCTTTCCAAGTTTTTTTAAGGAGTCTTTGTGTTTGGTTTGGGACGGCTAAACGACCACGTTGTCTCAGGGTAGGAATAATGTTCTCCTCGTCCTATCCCCGTTCCACTGGTGTGTTTTTCAACGCCGGAGGGTGTGTGGAGATGTCTCTCCAGTGGTGTTTTGAGATCTGATCGGTTTAAGTTTTCGGTGGACTTGTCTGGATTTGACCCGTTTTCATGGTCTCTGAAGTTTCTACATGCTCTTATTGTCGTGTTTTTCTTTGGACGGCGATTTGTTGCGTGTACCAAGGGCCGTTAGCGATTTTCTTCTACGAGCCACTGGGTTTTAGAAAAATTGCTCCGTCGAGGCCAAGGTCGAAAGGCGGCATTGAGCAATGATCACGCGTGCCGCCGGTGAATGCGGGAGGAAGAAAACTTTGGCCCCCATTATTTTGAATGTTTTTATTTTTTTATTTTGTAAGGTCGTGTTTCTAAGGATATGTGATACTTAACTTATTGCATTAGGCCTTTGCGCAAAAAAGGTTCTAGCATATTCAAAATCCATACCATTTGGTTTGGTAACTTTTGTGAAGTGAATGGGAGTTTAGGTAGAATTAGATATATGATGTGGCTTTTCATTCCCTCAGTTTCAGGCATACGATGGAATTTTTTTGGGGAGACTTGAGGAAGAAGTATAGAAAGTTTATTCGTGTTTGGTGGGTGAGAATTGATAAGAGATTAGTAAAGTGATGATAACACAATTACGATCACTCGCAAAAAAAACATAATTACAATGAAGGATCAATATTACACCATAATTTTCTTTCATTTTCCTCCCTTTTTAAAACAATATGCCCTTCGCTCATATGTCTAATACTTCTTTAATTCACCTAAAGACCCCTTCTTATTTTTCACGTCCACTAAATCAAGAAAAAAAATGACCAGTTGGCAATTTTCTCCCATATCCCTTACAACTAGGGTAAACTCTCCCCTTCAGACTTTGCTGGCGAGGCCGTGAATTCACCTCCCCTCTGCCTGCTACTCCACTGGGCAGTAGCGGGGAGGGGAATCCCGATGCTTCCACCTCGGTTAGTAGTTTCAGTTAGGGTTTTTTAGTCCCCGCAAGTGCGGCGCTCGGGACGAATTGCGCTACTTCTACTTTGTGTTTGTCTTCTGGGCTCCGAGCCTCCTTGAGTTCGTCCATCCAAACGTATTTGACGGAGTTCTAGTGTAGATTTTTACCGTCTGCTTGGAGCGGTGAGGTTAGGTTTTCTCGCTGTGTGGCGAGGTTTTGTTCCAGGTGTTTCGAGTATATTTCAAGGGTTCAACGCCGACGATTGCGGCTCCAAGGTGTTGGTCCTTAGGGGCACGTTCGCGAAAACTTCCCAGCTGTCATTGACAAGGTCAAGCCGGCTGTGGCAGGGGAGCAACAACAGTGGCGCAGCGGCGGCTCGCTCTGACGGCAATCTTGGTCGTCTGTGGTCTCGGAGTCTCAATGTAATTTTTATTATGTTTGAGATATTGTGTATGTTCGATGATTTTTGATAGTAAATATGAATCATTTTCGC